TCTAACTGGCATGAGATGACCAGGTTAAAACCCTTATGAGTAAAAAATAACTTTTAAGTTTTGACCTATACATTCCAACCAAGGGGAGATACACTGGCCTCAGGCTAGTCATCACAGGTCATAGGTCCACAAGCCAAGTATCATCCTCACAGCTCACAAACAAAATGGGTAATACGTATACACAAAGTGAGTACAAAATACATGTTTCTGTATATTCCAGGGGAGTAATGCCTATTTCCCATGAGCATACAATGCAGCAAGGGGCACAAAAAAAAGACACCATTCACTACCCACAAGACAGTGGAAAGAATAAAAGTCCTGTGCCCTGGGATGCCCTGGAATGGAGTGGAGGCTTTGTGGACCAGGTGGCATCCAGGCCACACCAGGAACATGAGTGGATATCGAGACGCATGGGGAGGGATCTTCAGGGTTGGAAAGGACAAAATGAACCAAGACACAGCCACAGATCCACTGACTATTCAGAGGACAGAGAAGTGTTTGTACTGGCTGAGGGATATAATATATGAGTTGCATAAAACAGAGAAAAGAAAACCTCTTCTGACAAGAGGGCAAAATACCTTCCCCACAGAGGATTCACATGCTCTCTGTGGAGGTGAAGGAGCTGGGGATCACTCTGCAGGTCACCTCCACTGTTGGGGATTCTTTCTCTGAGGAGAAAATCATGTCATATTTGTATTGCTTTATATATATGCAACAAAAATGTCTAGAAGGATGAATAAAAATGAATAATTGATTATCTGCTAGGGCAAATAGGGAACAAGAATGGAAGGGAATTTTCATGGGATACTTTATAAAATTACTTATTTCTTGGTACTAGGGATTAAACGCAAGAGTGTTTTACCCCAGCCCTTTTTGCTTTTTGTTTTGAGACAGGGCCTTGCCAAGTTGCTGAGGCTGGCCTTGAAATTGCCACCCTCTTGCCTCAGCCTCCAGTTGCTGGGATGAAAAGTGTACGCCACCACACCTAACATTCATAGAATACTTTTAAAACCAAGTGAATATATTACCTATTCAACAATTAATTAAATGCTTTAAAAGAAACAATTGAATTATTCCAATAAAGACTAAATGCAGAACATACAATAATATAAACCATTGCTATAGCAACACTAAAATAATTGCTATGGGCAACAATAAATACACTTCCCATGGACTCCAACCTGAGAAGATAGTTGGTGGATGTGAATATTGAAGGCAGGTGGATGTGAAAGCCAGATTTAGTGGTACCTGTAAGTGTCCATCACTGGCCCCCAGGAGGGAAGTAGGCAGGTCTGCTCACTAGGACCCCAGATCTGCCATCCTTCCCTCCTGTTCTGCTCCCTTTCCTCTGTCTTCGGCTGCCTCCCTCTCTTTGTTCCACCTAAATTGCTTTGAAAGTAGTCAGTTTTTTCAGTTGCCGAGGTTGGGCAGAGATTAGGATGAAGGGAGGCAGAGGGATTTTCACAGAAATCAGAATAGCAGCTCCTTTCCTTTCCTTCAACCCAACCCAGAACCAAGTTCCTCTAGGAAGCCTTGCCTTTGCGAGCCCACAAGGCCCCAGCTGCACTCCCCAACCCCATCAAGTCGTGGAGACAAATGCCCAGGCTGTAGCCTGTGTCTTCTCCAAGCAGGGTTCAGAACCCCTATCTCTAATTCTCTCCCTCAACCACCTACAACCCAAGTCCAGCCTCCAGACAAGGACAGCCCAGGCCAAAGCCCCAGAACTGCCCAGTGAGGGAGACAGTTGAGGAAAGAAAACAGGCCCTATCTGGAAACCCACATTCAGGCAGAGTAGAAAAATCTTTCCTGCTGATTACAAAGACCACCCCCACCCAGACATAGAGATCAGAACACATTCTGTCTTCAGAGGACACTAAGGCTGAGGGCAGGGCAGAGGCTCAGACTGGTGAGTGACCAGGTGACCTACAGTTCCCTCCTCTTTTGAAGCACTCTACACACTATATTGTCATATCCACCAATATTGACTTCTCTAAGCTGGGACAGTATCTGCTGCATCTCTGCAGTTGGGGAGAACAGGGCCTGGCAGAGTTCAGAAGCTTGGGAGAGTTAGGAATTGCTGCGAGGAACAGAAAAAGGAAAGGACTTGTCTAAATGTTTGGTCTGGGACTAGACCTCAGGTTTTCTGTCCTCAGCCCAGCATCCTTTCCTCAATTTCCCTCTTACAGAATAGATCAATTCTCTGCACCTAGGACACCCATCCACCCCTATTCCAAGACCTCCTGCAGTAGGGCAGCTACCAAGGGCTGCCAAGAGGAATGTGGAAGATCTGGGAGGGCTTCTCAGAGGAGGTGTTAACTGCAGCCAATTTTCCTCTTCCATGCCAAACAACTGGGTTTCCCCCTAGAGCAAGTGCCTTTCAGCCATCAGAACCTCCCCTCCCCACCAGCCCCAGAGAGTATCCAAGTGGATCCGGCTTCATTCCAATGATTTCCTACTCAAGTCTGGTACATATGAGGTGGCCAATAGGTGGCGCATTTGTCCCCACAAAATTGATCAGGGAGAGAAAGGAGGATGGAGTATAAGAAAAGGAGAGGGAGAAGGGCAGCATGGAGCTAGGGAGGGAGTTGAGAACAGAGTGGAGGAAATAGGAAACCAAAGACCTGTCCCCTGGCTTGGAAAGATCCCTTTCAAGATAAGGACTGTGGGTGTGTGTGGGGAGGATGTTGGGGTAAACTGAGAAAAGTTATTAATGCCCGGGGTTTTTCCATCCGAGTTTCCACCTCCATTCACTTCTCTGAGAAAGGAGAATGACTTTGGAGTCAGACAGACCTGGAGTCCAGTCCTGAATGTCACTTGGCAGTTTGACTTGGGTAATTCACTTGACTTATGAACTCCAGTTGCATCATTTATAAATGTGATGATCTGCACAGCTTATATAAAGGGGTGATAATAATAATCCTAATAATGCCATTTTTTTATTCTGGGGATAAACAGCACTTGATGGTATACTTTTTATATTGCATTCCTGGATTCAGTTTGCTGGGAAAATTTCCATCTTCTTTCATATGTGATATTAGACTATCTATGGTGGGCTCACCCCTTCTTTACCAGGTTTTGATAACATAAATAGGTAGATTGACTTAGGATGATTTCCATTTTTGTTTTTTTTCTGTATCAATTTATATAATTAGCAAAATAGTTTCTGATAACTTAACAGACAACACAGTCCACCCTAGGTGCCCTCCCGTGGAAGCAATGAGAAGAACTGCTCTGACAGTGTTTTCTTTTTTTTCTGTGCTCAGAGGTCTGAAATTAGTTACTCCTTAAATTAGTCAACCCAGACCAGGAGTCCTTAAGCTTTCAGAGTCAGCATGAAGCTGTGGTTAAATGGGAAACTTTGTGGTCTTGCTAAATTAGGATTTCAGTTAATGGTTGACTGTTTTCACATATTTGTATGTCTACTTTTCTCATCTCCTCCAAGCTACCCTCCTGTTCTAGCTGGATACTGCAGTAGCCTTTTAACTGGTCTCCCTACCCCACCCCAGTTCTCTCTAACACCATCTCCATAGCATACTTGGGAGCTATGAAATTTCCTCTGAACACAAGGTTGGCTATATCCTAAGGATTTTTTTTTCCCAGTGCTAGAGATCAAACCACACACATGCTAGGCAAGTACTCTACTACTAAGCTATATTCTCAGTCCCATTCTTTGGATTTTAATATGAACTGTTCTACTTTATTGATTTATGAATAATCTCTAATATTAGCTTTCTTCTAACGAAAGTTATTTATTTAAATAAGCATTTTTAAATTTTCATTTGCTTCACTTGAAGTATGACCCAATAATATATTCTTATACATGTAGAAAATAGAGAATCTTGAAATGTTTTTTCATTGCAATGGTAATATTAAATACATTAATATTTAAGCATAATTGGGGTCAAGGTCCTCCTTAAAAAAGAAACCTGATATTTAAAGTCTTCATTTGCACTTATTATGAAGTGATATGGGGCAATACATGTAGATTTTATAAATAAATGTTGCATTTGGGCCAGGTGATGGAAGGAATAGTTCCAGTTCGTTGAAAAGAAAAAAAAAATGGTGGATGAATTTAGTCAAGACATTCCAACCCCAAAAGATCTGCTATAGAGAAATCAACACCACATTTAGAGTGCAAGTGATTTAGTTTCAGCAAAACAGTATCTTTTTTTACATTTGAGTAATGCTGTGAACTTGAATTTTTATTCTGTTGCTCTGTTTGAATTTAATTGATAATAATGTTTAACAGTTACATAAAAAGTAGAAACTTAAGGAATTTATACCTACACATACTAAGTGACATTATAATAAAATTTAAAGTCAATACTAGAGGTCCACATTTTTTTCCTTTAAAGTAGACCCTATTAACCTCCTTTATCCTACCTCTGTCCCCATACTTCCAGGAACTCTCAGAGTTACTTCACATGGGCTTGAAACAACCCAGTTACTACAATGGAGGGCTCTCCACATTACTCATTATTCTTTCCCAGGTAATTGCCTGCATTCCCAGGTGCCCAGAGGTCTGAAAAATGCCTGAAGGAGCCTTTCTGTTGTCATCATTGTCAGTGTCCCTACCAAAGGTGTCATTTTCCAATATACTCATGCTTCCATGTGCCAAGGTGATGTTGCCTTCTTTCATGTGCTGGACTCAGAAGGTCCTCAAACAAACTCAGCATCATCTTGGGCCCAAAGGTAGCATCCAATGGTACAATTACCTGAAGTTAGGTCACAGCCCTCTCTCAGGGCTTTTCTTGTCAGCTCTCCTTCTATAAGGAGTTCTCAAAGCATCCCCCCTTCATCCTCCTACCCACTTACCTTAACACTGAGCTACGTTCCCAGCTTCCTTGGAGGAAGTGCATACTAAGCTGAGAAAATACTTCCCATTCTCCTGTTCCCCAGTCTCCTCCATAAAAGTCTACAGAAACACAGTTTTGACTCAACTATTTCGAAGTCAAAATGCATGCTTTGCTTCTCATGCTAAAACAATCATCTTATTTCAGATGTGCAGTTTCCAAAACAATTTACCTCTGCTGGAACAAGGAAATAAACCAAGAAAAAGGAAGATATGGGATCCAGGAAGCAGAAGATTCAATACAGAACAGAGATGGAGGGAATTCCAGGTCCACATCTGTGCAGCAGACATGGAAAGCTGTCAGTACAGACTGGAACTGGAGGATGGAGGGATCTGGGAGAGATGTCTCCAGGAAGGCAAAAGCATGCAACTAAAAGGAGTGATGAATTTCATAATAAGTTTGACTCACAAAAAAAAGTGTACCACCGTGCTATCAGAAGGTATGGGAAGATTTAGCAGTAAGTATAAAGGAAGCTGAGCAAATAAAAAATCCCAAGGCATTATTAATTCCAGGAAAAATAAAAAGTTGCATCCCCAAAGAAAGGAGTTGTGATCATGGTCCACTAGTAACTTACCAAAGAATAATATTTATACAGTAGTAATAATGTAAGTACTAAGAACTGAATTAACCAAAAATTGGTGATATAGGTAGAAATGGGAAGAGAGAGACATTTTAGAGGTAAATATTCTCTATCATAATAGAAAGTTAAATCATTACTGTTTCAAGAGAGAGGAGTATAAGCATGGAGATATGGAAGTATATTCCATAAGAAACAAATACGAATTGAAAGTAGATATATAGGGGAAGATGCAGGTTTCCTATGAGTGGGGGGAAATGCAGGTTTCCTAAGAGTGGGGTAAGACACCACTGTAAGCCTTTGATTATTATTTGACTTGTTAGATTATGGGCTTCTTTAAATTTAATAAAAATTAAAGTTAAGCATTTAAAATGTGTCTTTAGAATAAAATGACTTAAATGTTTCTATAAGAATGAAGAGGCAAGGATCTATTAAACAATTCTGAAGTTTTCATTTAGAGTATTTTTTCACCCAAAAGGAGAAAGAATGTTGAAATCTCACTAATAGACAAAAAATGGTGACTTTAAAGAAAGAGTTTGGTTAAGTTTTGTTTTTTGTTTTTTTCACATGTGCCAAATGACATATAGCTTTCCAACTATGAACTCTCTGAGAACATAAAGAGTCTCTTATTTGTATTTCTATTGGCTTCACAAATGGACACAGAGCCTGGCATACAGTCAGCCCTTGATGTTGGTGAATAAAGAAAAATTCAGGAGGCATTTTAAAATAAAAAAGTTTCTGACTTTCCAGTTCAGCAGTTGCCTTTCTAGAATGTCCCTACAAATATTGTCTCCTTGTCCTCTGAGTGGTCAAAGATCCTGGAATTAAGACCATGAAGTGATGACAATAATGGAATTCAGAGATCAGGAAGCACTCTCCAACTTCAGGACAGTGAGAAGGTCCTTCCCTTCCCTGGGAATTTCTTGAATTCGGGAGAAGTTTATCAACAAACAGGTCCTCTGAGGTAGGAAGAGGGACTGAAATATCATTTGAAGCAGAAAGTTTGCATTTTGATCTCTGTGGATCTCTGTTTAGAAAACGCAAGTCTGGATTTTCTGCTGCATACTGAGCCCAGGGAGGTGCAGTCTCCTCAACTGACAAGTGAGGAAATTGCCTCTTCTTCCACCTCTGTCTCCTCTTTTTGACTTTTACACAAGTCACTGTGGGGACTGTAAGTAACAATGGACAAAAGAAAAAAAAAGTGTCAATCTGTATACAGCCCACTTAGTCATTGTTTGGTAAGTTGGGCACAGTATTAGACCCTAGGAATTCATTTGTTCAGTCAACCATTGAACAAATATTAAGTGAAAGGCTGCTCTACATCAGGCAAATTGGATCTAACCCTTGCTCAAAGCAGTTAACAGTTGGGGGAAAGGGTGTGTAATAGGGCACTTTCTACTGCACTGGGCTTACCTACTGCCCTACCTCCAAAGAGAGCCTTCCTCCTTCCTAGATTCCCTGTACCTTTCCCCTTTATGAGCTGCTCACTGTTTGCTCTCACCCTCCACCACCACCCCACAGCTTCTAACAGTGGTATTTAGAAGAGGTGCATCAGGCACATCCAACAAACAAATCATATTTACCCTGGGTTCAAGACAAACCATCCTCTATTCTCCCTATCCCTAATCCAGGCTCTACTAGACCAGGAGCCCTGGGCAGAAAGCTTGGCAAAGCCTGCTGCTTACCATTTGGGTCAGCACCAAAGAGCAGAACAGGGTCAAAGGCCAGCTCCCTCTCTCAAACTTTAACCTCTGAGTATCCTGCTCCATACTGCCCTGTCCTTGGTGCTGGGTCAGTCATGAATCAGCTCAGATCAATGCTGCTGCACCTCAATTCAGCAGAAGAGGTAAAATAGTAGGCACAGCCTACAATGCATGCCCTGCTCCAGAAGTGAGGTTCAGAAGGGTGGTGTGGTCTGTGAAGTCTCACTCTTCTTAAATCTTTTAAACTGAGCATTCAGCCTGAGACTGGTGCCTTTCCTCTAGCTTAGTGCACATACTAATCATCTGGGAATTTTGTTAAAATGCAACATCTGATGATTCCATGGGTTGGTCTGAGGTGGTGCCTGAAATCCTGATTTTCTAAGAAGCTTCCAGGTGATGTTGTTGGTCCATAGACACACTTTAAACACAAGGCTCTAGAGCACTTATCTCATTTCTCAGAGCAATGATAATTAATGTCTTTTCCCCCATTAATCTACACAGTTTTTGAGGCAGTTTTTGCCCATTCGTTCAGTGATGTATCCACAGTGCCTAGCACAGTGCTTAACACATTATTAAAGATTCACTTGGAGGAGTGAATGAAGGTCAATGCTCCCTTATCTATGGGCGGATGCCAAAGAGCAGGCCACCCTGTTGCCCAAATGCACTCATATAAGCATGCAAACACCCATGCAACCCCATCTCACCTCTACTAGGCTGAGACGTAGATGATGAAGACTAGGCAGATGTGCACAGCTATGGCTGAATCACCTCCTTTCTGCACTTCATGAACCTCTGATGATTCGCAAGAGGGTTCACCCCCTGTGGCATCCCAAGGTGTGAAACTCACCCACTGTCCTCCCCAAACATTCCAGCCAGCACACCAAGTCACCACCAACACACCAAGCCCAGTGAAAGGGTTCTTCTTACTTTTTAATTAAACCAGCTTTAATTAAAAAATAATAACCTGATAAATCCTATGCTTTCCAGTGGGTAGGACAGACATAAAGGCCCACTAATTCCCCTTTCAGTCAGGAGCCCCTGGTGCTGCTTGACTCAGAAATTTCCAAGAACTGTCCTCAGGGCTTGGAATAGGCCGTCAGGTATGTCTGTCTGGAAAGGGGAGTTGAGAAACAGAGGACAAATAGGTAATTGGTGGTGAGTAAGGGACAAGTAACGAACCCAGCAGTCTGACCTCTAATGTACTGACAAAACATGAAAGGAGGATGACCAGGTAGAGTCAGTTGAGGCAGCTTGAGACCAAAGGTTCCTGTGGCTTGGAACTCACCAAGACACCTGGGGCACCTCGCTGGTGGGAGTCCAGCTCCCTGGGACCCACAGCGATGTGGGGATGCAAAGATGGGAGTTCATAAGTGGAGGGAAAAGATATGAAGGGCTCACAAGTTGGAGGGGACATACAGTCCAGTGTCTAACCCTAACCCTAGGGTTAGGGTTAGGGTTAGAGATGGAGGGAGTCTCCCCGGGGGTGGAGGACAGCGAAGGATTCTGCAGATGTGTTCAATTCAGAAGGCAAAGATGGGGCCTTAGAGGTGCGCCCCAAGCGGGAGGGTGGTGGGGACCGCGACGCGGCAGCCCACAAGGCACACTCTAGTCCGGAGGGAGGGTGACTACAGGAGCTCTTGCTCTGGGAGAGGCTCACAGGTAGCGCTCCAGCCCCGGCGGCGCGAAGCCCGGCTGCCTCAGGTAGGCCTCCCCGGGGCTCAGCGGGCCGAGGGCACCGGCCGGTCCGGCCAAGGCCAGAAGGGGCTCAGCGGGCAGCGGGCCAGGACCGGGGCGCGTCGCGGGCAGCCCCAGGCGGTCGGGAGCTTGCGAGTAGAGCGGCGGCGAGGCAGCGGCCGCGCAGGGCGCGAAGGCGGCGGCGTCGGGCGCGGCGCAGCAGAGCGGCTCGGGGGCGCCCAGCCCCGCCAACTCGGGCTGCAGGCTCACCAGGCTGTCGACGCTGAAGAGGCGCGCGGGCGGTGCGGGCCCGGGCGCGGCGGGTGGCGGGGCGAGCAGCCCGGGGCCCGCGGGCGCGTAGGGCGCGTAGGGGAAGGGCAGCGGGGGCCCCGGCGGCGCGGCCGCATGCGCGGGCAGCTCGGCGCGCTTGAAGCGCTTGCGGCGCCGCAGGAAGCTGCCGTTGTCGAACATGTCGGCGGCTGCGGGATCGAGCGTCCAGTAGTTGCCTTTGCCCGGGTTGCCCGGCTCTCGGGGCACCTTGACGAAGCAGTCGTTGAGCGTGAGGTTGTGGCGGATGCTGTTCTGCCACTTGCGCGGACTGTCGCGGTAGAAGGCGAAGCGCTCGGTGATGAAGCGGTAGATGGCGGCCAGTGTGAGGCGGCGGCCCGGGGCGTGCGCCAGCGCCATGGCGATGAGCGCGATGTACGAGTAGGGCGGCTTCCCGCGCTGCAGGGGCCGCCGCCGCCGCCGCCCGGGGCCCGGCGCGGGCGTGGGATCCGCTTCCCCGCCGCCCGCCGCCGCTTCCTCGGGCTCCCGCCCGGGCTCGGCTCCGGCCAGCGGCGACGGCGGCGGCCCCGACGGCGCGACGGAGGGTAGGGCTGGGAAGCCCAAGAAAGCGGCAGGCGAATCCATGTTGCTGCGCCCGGTCATCAGGATGTGGCAGACCCTGCCCGCGTTGGGGAGAGCAGGGGCCGCAGACCTGCCTTATATGGACAGAGCCCCCTCCCCACCAGGGGAGAGGGCTCGGACCTTCCCTGTTGGCCTGAGCCTCCCCTCTAATTTGCTTTCCCAGCCCCCTTACTGTGCTCACAGCCCCCTCAATTTCGCCCCTCCTTCAGTCTCATCCCTTGGGGTCAGTTTTTCCCAGACCCTGCCTCATCCCTTCCCTGTCTCCATTGGGTCAGCCTCGAGGCCCTAGCCCCAACCCATGGTATTTGATCAGCCCCTTCCCTTACCACCCCTCCCTCTACCCCCTCCCCTTTGGGTCAATCCCAATCACAAATCCACCCATTCAGCGCACTCTCCTGGCCCTCTCCCCATTTTGCTCCTCCCTCCCCACAGTCAGATCCCCTCCATGCTCAGGTCCTTCCATCCCTAGCTGAATCTGGGATAAAAGAAGTCTTGCCAGCCCACAGTGCCCTGTGTGGCTGCTCAGGGAGGCCTCAGGCCATGGTTGGACAGTAGGGAACCAGGGCAAAGGTCACAGAGAAGGGCAGGGGCAGAGACAGGCTCTGGGAAGAATATCTGAAGACCCCAGATCAGGGTCACCATCTCCTCTCTCTGCTCCCTCCCCCACATACTCCCTATTCTGTCCTTGCTGCAGGCCTTGTGAGCCTTCTTTGAAAAAATAGTAAAAAATGATCCAACTGTTTTAAATCAAGAGCTCCTCAAACCCCACAGTTGGTGCGGGGGGCTAGGGTTGTGGCTCAGAGGTGGAACTAGCATGCCTAGCATGCTTGAGGCACTGGGTTCAATTCTCAGCACCACATAAAGTAAAATAAAGACATTGTGTCCACCTATAACTAAAAAATTTTAAAAAATCACACAGTTGGAGATGCCCTTTGGACTACAGATCTCCACACCTCTCCTGTTCAAGGAAACTGTTCCCCTTCTCTTCCCCACCCCACCCCACCCCCAGCACCTACACAGAAAGCCACAAACAGCTCTGCACAGCTTCCAGAGCTCCAAAAAACAGTTACCAGTTGGGAGACAGACCCCCACCAAGAGCTTCTATTAGATTGAAGATCTGAGAGGCTTTCTGATCCTGAGACATCACACTCTTGACTCATTGTGGGATAGGGAGTTTAGGCAGTTTTGTTAAAAATTCAGTCTGGGCAATACCACCCACCACTATCATTTAGAGAGAACCAAAGAGTGAAGGAGCCCTGTCCTACATCACTTTGTCGACAGACAAGATCAAGGAACTTGGAGGGCTGAGTGTACAATGAGGCGCCTATAGCGCTAAGTTTAAGGAGCACTCACTCTCAAGGTCTTGCAAATGCAGGATCAGCTCTTGAAAGCCAGGGCCTACTGCCATCTGGGGACTCATTTGCCCCACCCTAATTCAGTTCCCATGTAGTGTGCCTTACCTT